CATGTGTTGTTTATGAGAAAAATCTAGTGGGATCAAACAAGAAACTGTGGTGGCTAGACACATGAGCAACACGACACATATGCATGCAGAGGAATCAGTTTTCCTCGTTTGAGCATGTCAAAGGTGAAATGATGTACATGGGGAATGTTGCTCCTGCTGAATTCAAAGGAAGAAGGAATGTGCTTCTGATGATGACTTCTGGAAGAGTTGTTACGCTGACCAATGTTCTCTATGTGCCAGCGATGACAAAGAATCTGGTCTCGGGGACGCTCCTGATAGAACACGGCTTTAATATTAACATGAATGGTGATAATTTTATTTTGCGTAAATCAGGAGTGTGTGTAGGCAAGGGATATGTAAAGATTGGTTTGACAGTGATTGAAAATAATAATAATAATAATAAGTCTGTTGATTATATTGTTAAGTCATCTACTTTATGACATAGTCGATTGGGTCATGTTAATTATGATTCAATACCTCAATTAATTAACCTGAACCGCATTATAAAATTTGAATTAAATAAATATAAATATATGAAATTTGTGTTGAAGCAAAACAAACTTAATCGTCATTTCAAACAATTCAACGTGAAACTGAACCACTCGAATTGATACACAGTGATGTATGCGATCTGAAAATTGTACAACCATGTGGTGGTAATAAATATTTTACTATATTCATTGACGATTGTACAAAATATTGTTATGTGTATTTACTTAAAAGTAAAGACGAGGCATTAAGTAAATTGATTTTGTATAAAAATGAAGTGGAAAATCAACTTAACAAACGAATCAAATGAATTCGAAGTGATAAGGGTGGAGAATATGAAACTCCAATCGGAGAATTTTGTGCACAAAATGGAATAATTCACGAAGTAACTCCACCCTACTCACCTCGATCAAACGGCGTCGCTGAACGCAAAAATTGCACATTAAAATAAATGATAAAGGCAATGTTGTTAAGTTTTAGACTACCCCAAAACATGTGGGGGAAGGCAATTTTGAGCAGTAATTATCTGCTTAACTTAATATCTCGGAAAAAGATGGAGAAGACCCCTTATGAGCTTTGGAAATATCAAAAACTATATTACAAACACCTTCGAGTGTGGAGGTGTCTAGCTAAGGTAGTGGTGCCACCTCCTAAACGTGTGAAATCGGTCTCAAGATAGTGGACTGTATTTTCATAGGATATGCACATAATAGCACTGCCTATCGAATCTTGGTATTTGATTCAAAAATTTCGGATATCCCAAAGAATACGATAATAGAATCAAAGAATGCATCATTCTTTGAATCTGTGTTCCTTGCAAAGGTAGGCACTGAATCTAGATCGATCAACTAAGAACATGAAACAGTGCATCAAAGATCGAATGGAAATGTATGAATTTGAACCAGGTCAAGAACCTGAGCTCAGAAGAAGCAAGTGAGCACGAGTTGAAAAGTCGTTTGAAATGACTATTTCACTTATCTTTTTGAAAACGAGCCTCAAACATATACTGAGGCGATGACGTCTCCTGAAGCTCCTCTCTAGAAAGAAGCCGTAAAAGGCGAAATTGATTCTATTCTTCATAATCACACTTGGGAACTTGTGGATCTCCCAACTGGTTCAAAACTTCTTGGATCAAAGTGGATATTCAAGAGGAAAATAAAACCAGACGACACAATAGACAAATACAAGGCAAGACCTGTAATCAAAGGCTACAAGCAACGAGAAGGCCTAGATTACTTTGACACATATTCTCTTCTCACGAGAATAACGTCCATTAGGATGATCCTTGCGATAGGCGCTCTGTGGAATCTTGAGGTCAATCAAATGGATGTGAAAACGGCCTTCTTAAATGGAGATCTTAATGAAGAGATCTACATGGAACAACATGAAGGCTTTACAGTTCCAGGATAAGAAAAGAAGGTATGTAGACTTGTGAAATCACTGTACGAACTTAAACAAGCTCCAAAGTAATGACATTAGAAATTTGATCATACCATGATGACCAATGGTTTCAGAATTAATGAATGCGATAAATGTATATACGTAAAGACCATTGAGTCAAGTTATGTGATTATATGCCTCTACGTTGATGATATACTTATCGTTGGTAGCAACGATAACATCGTTAAATCCACCAAAGACATGTTAAATTCTAAATTTGACATGAATGACATAGGTCTTGCTGATGTGATCTTAGGAATTAAGATCAAACGAACCGAAAATGATCTAATTCAAAGTCAAACTCATAATGTTAACAAAATTCTCGAGAAATTCAGCAAGGATGATATAGGAATAGCGAGAACCTCATTGGACACAAGTATCCATTTATTCAAAAATCGTGGAGATGGTGTATCACAAATCGAATACGCCCGGATAATTGGAAGTTTGATGTACCTGATGAGCTATACCATACCCGACATAGCTTATGCTATAAGCAAGCTGAGTACATATACGAGTAATCCTAGTCGCGAGCATTGGAAAACCATCGTTCGTATACTTAGGACTTATGATACACTCGAGATTACGGATTGCACTATAGCAGACATCCACCTGTAGTAGAAGGCTACTCAGACACAAATTGGATATCTGACACTCTTAATTCAATATTAACTAGTGGATATGTGTTTATACTAGCTGGTGCAGCAATCTTCTAGAAATCCGCTATACAAACAATTATTACTAAATCCACAATGGAATCTGAGTTCATAACGTTGGATAAAGTTGGAAAAGAGGCGGAATGCATTCGCCATTTCCTCAAGGATATTCCAGATTGGGATAAACTTGTGTCAGCCATTACCCTGTACTGTGATAGTAAATTTGATATTGGTAGCGTAGAAAGTATAATGTATAATGGCAAGAGTCGACATATTCATCGTCGACACAATTCCATAAGACAACTGATCACGACTAAGGTTATTGTTATAGACCATATTGCGTCAAAGGATAACCTAGCGGATCCGCTAACCAAAGGGTTAAATCTTGATGCAGTTCACAAATTGACTAAAAGAATGCGATTTAAGTCTACTGAGATATAAGTTTTTATAAAGAGAAATCCAACCTATAAAGATTAGAGATCTTAATAACTAGGTTCAATGGGACAACCTGCCTATAAGACTTATATACGTCACTGTGGGGACTAATAACCTCGACCCATTCCTATAAACGAACAGTGACAGAGTAGGAAGGATAGCAAATAATTGTTTTAATGATCACTGAGTATTATATCACTCGAAAACTTAGAAAGATCACCTATATGAAAGAGAAGTGAGACCACTTCAAAGGAGAATTGTTCAGGCTCAGTTCTTTAGAGACTCTTGCAGAACCAGGATGAGTTCCACGGCCAAAACGGACCAAACAATGAAAATTGAACTAGGACTATGGATTCTGTATCAATATGTAGCTCAGTTACTAGGAAACTGAACAGTTCAAAGAAAACAGTTCTACTGGATAGTTGGTAAAGACTATGTGTTGTAGAAAGCAAAGTTCAAAGGAAAACCTATTTATCCTATTCATAATTCATAATTCTTTCATCGAGTCATTGTTCTTTCCCCTTTCATGTGTGGGATTGTTAGATGAATATGTGAAAGAAGAGGAAAAGGAATATGAAAGGTTGTGTCCGACGTGGGAAAACAGACAAACTCACCCCTCTTTATTTATGTTTTGATTTCAATAACAATAAATGGACCAAATGGGATGTAGATTGGATTGGACTTAGTTTGGGCATTGGCTTATGCTAATTCATAATTAATTAATCAAGACTTGGGTCTTGGGACCGTGGGGGCTCGTGGCCCAAGCCCAATTACATTGAAATCCAAATAATTTAATTTTATATTTATCCAATAAAATATATCTAACTGATTAAACGTTACATGTATTGGATATATTAAAATAGTTGCAACTGAATGCAACGTGCATAAAATAAAGTGAAGTGGTTACGAAATTTAAGTTATCTTAAATTTAACTTTGAAGAAATTCAGATATAAAAAACATCATCCTCGTTAAATCTAAGGTGAATTTTCTTTCTTTTAGAATCTCTGAAAAATATCTCTCAAAAGTAATTTTTGCTCCAAAAATTCTCAAAAATTTCTACCTCTTGATTCAATTTGCGGAATTTGTTATTCCGTATGATTCGTTCTATCTTGGAAGGCGATTAGTAACGAGCCGAATTCGCTTCAAGAAAATCGCGTCTACGCGAGGCTTAGATCTGATTTAAATTTGATATTCAATCTCGTTATTAAATTATTATTTTTTGATTTTGTTCTAAATTTTGTCACTTGTCAGATCTGCTAACATATTTGTTTTATGTCAACAAAATTAAATCAGACGGATGGACAATAATATATAATAAAAGTTGGAAATTGGATTTTATCGAGATGAATGTAAATTGCAAAAATATAGAAATAGACAAAGTTGAATGGAAACAAGTGCAACAACTAACATAATAAGCCAAGAAGAAGAAAATATGAGAACTAATGTAAGAGAAAGAAATAAACTAAGAAAGAAATTGAAAAAAAAAAAAAAAAGAGTAAATATTAGATTATAGAATTTCGAAAAATGGCGCAGGACAATGAGTTTTCCCTATTTCTTCTATTTTATTCCTTGCTTGGCCTATGGACCTAATCACAATTTTCTCAATCACTTTGCTTATCCATTCTCTCCACTTGTTCGAACTTTCCCAACCAACTTTACTTTGGATAAAAGTTTTACATTTTCTTTCACTCCTCTATGTTTTTACTTGTATATATATGTCAACACATTTTGGACATCAGAGTGGACTTCTTCGTAAAGATTAAGAAGTAAAATATCTATTTATTTTCTAAGTCAATCGATTTTTTAAGCCAATCAAGACGCTAACATTGTCATTCGAATTTTGTGCGGTGCAGAGAGCCACTAGCGCCTTCCTTATATATAACCTAACAGGTTAAATAATTTTAAAAAAAAAAAGAGAGAAATCAAACTACAATAATAATTGTTAAATAGATCAAAGTATTTCACCTCAAAATCACAGAAAATAGAATGATCAAGCGCAAATACACCAAACAAAAACAATGTATAATACACAATGCCATACATCACAACCTCTACAAACTATACATGCTCTCTCTATACCTCTGTATCTTCTTCTATCTATAACAGATTATCCTCCTCGTCCTCGTCAATTAAGCTCAGCTCAGCTCGCTTATGCACTCACTCACTGTCAAATCTTATTAAGTTCCGGTTGCAAAGAATAAAACACAGACATCGTATATAGACTTACGTGGCGGGGCCGGGGGCTGGGAAGATTATCGTCTCCACCAATCGGGTATCTTCAGCCGCCTGGTTCGATGAACGGCCAGATTAACAGCCGGGACCTTGTTCCTAACCTGTCTCCATATCATGTTCACTGCATCTTCCTTCTTCGGAGGATATTGGAATTCGAAGTGATGAGATACGGTTTTGAGGTGCGACCACATTTTCATCCATTTCTCTCTCGAAACCCCTCTCAGCTCGTTGACGAGGTGCCCAGGATTCAGGGCCTCTTTAACTGAGAAGAAGATGGAGAACTCTGTGTAGTCCAATTCGCTTTCGAATGGTAGCTCGATTCTGTCGCTCACAATGACCGGAATGCAGTGGCTGACGATCGCGTCGAATAGACGGCATGATGAGGGAGTATCGCCGGCTGGATGGAGACAGAACTTCGAAGAACGCATACGATCAGAAGACTATCACATGCAAAAGATATTCCAAAAACCAACCACCATTATAAATTGAATACGATATTTCGAATTCCCACAATTGACGTTTTTTAAAAGGATACATTCGATAAAGAACAATGTTTGTACATAATTTGACAAGACTTACGGCTTTGAAAGCTTCTTCCGAGGCATGGCCTTCCTCGTATATGAGGTCATCTGTTCCATTCAGCACCTTGCGCAGCTGAGCTCGAATTATTCCCTCCTGCAATATTCGTAAATCAGAATCAATGTGTTTCTTGAAATTTGAAATCAATAAAGGCATGAAAGAACACTTGCGTCGATCAGCATACATCTTTCCGGATGGTCCTTCCACGGAAGAAGAGAAGTGTCTTACGGGACGCATAAGGATCTTCGGGGTCTTCACCAACATACGATTCTATCATGTGTACATAGGGCGCAACGACATCTTTCCCCAGCCTAGAAATGTTCATTATCCGGCCAAAGTCAGCAACAATGAATATCGATGCATTGATTTCGTCACGGTAATGTCTGAAAGCATTCGGATGATGCAGGGGGATTACATGGTCTCGCCCGCCAGATCTTTTCCAGTGATCTGATGCTTTAAGTATATCTATCATCTCGCGCTAAAATTAGATGCAACGGTTTGTCATCAGATAATGTCGAAAAAAGGATTCACTACAAACAGAAATACACAAATATATCACTCCACAGACTGCTAAACGGAGGAATTCGACACAATAGTTCTATCGAACACTTCTAAGTTCATGTTTTGTATTGATTTAAGACCCGAAAACCCAAGAAACCAGTCAAACAGGATCCCAAATAACGATCATCAAACACCAACACTGATTAGAAGTCACTATTGTAATCAATTCCACAAATTATCATCCAACTAATGCAAATCATGGAAGTCTAATAGCCGACATTGTCAAGTTCTTCATCGAAACCAATCGAATATCTGATCGAAAGCAAAAGCAACCGATTGCTAAGACTAAGTTGCAATTCAACAAATAGAAGTCTGAATTCATCAAATCAAGGCCTCAGAACAATGCTCATATCAACTACAATGCTAAGATTAGAAAAGCAGATAAAGAAACGAAACCCTAGCTAGCTAGCTGATAAGTTCATGAATCAACATTTCAACGCTAATCGATTAAAAAATTCAAATAATAACCAAACAGCAGCTGGAAAACATAAAAAAATTCACAAAAATGCACCTGCAAGTTCTCGTCTACAGTGTTCAGCTCCGCCATGTTCCTGACATAAATGTTATAACTCAGCGACGAAAAGAACGGCACAAAGAACACATCTGCCGAATCCGGATCCGCGACCCTGACCGCCTCCCGGTCCGACCCGCCCCCATCGCTCAAAAGCGAGGCCATCATCCAGTACTCCACACTGTGCTGCCGCCGGAGGCCTTCGTTCCACATCCACGCCGGTACATTCTCGGCAGTCACCGAAGTGTTACTGGGAAACCTCCGGTCCATCATTCCGGCGTTGAAACGGGGCGGCAAATCGTACATATAGACACGGAGGGGCGGCGATCCGGCGCGGCAGGGCCCTGCATTGGCGAGCTGCGGAATGAAGGAGAGGAAGTGGGATTTGTAGTCGACGGTGGCGAGGAGCAGCGAGCCGAAGAGCAGAGGTATGCATAGTGAAATTGACAAGCAGACGAGGGTGGAATTGACGGATTTTTGCATCTATTTAGGGTTGGGGCGAGGAAATCGGCAGGCAGTGGTGCAAGAATTTGGGCGAATTGGAAGGCGATTGGATCGGAGAAGCAGATGGAAGAACGAATGGGAATTTTGGGGACTGCGTCTGCCTGCGGTTGGGGTTTTTCTAATTTTTTATTCAAACTTATTTTATACGTATTATTTCCAACTAATTGATTAGGGTTTATCAATTACTACAATTAGTCCACTTTGTTTTGTGTTTAAGAAATATTATATTCCCTCCCAGAACTAAATATTTATTTGTTTTTTTTACTTAGTTAGTTTTAAAAATATTAGTATTATATTAAAATATAATATGAATAAAATCAAAATAATTAAAATAACGTTATTAGCATATATCATAATGATATTTGTGTAATATATTGTAAGTTGTAAGAGTATTTGTAATGTTAGGTAGATAGTACAGTTACTAAAAAAACAAAATTGATACTTTTTTATCGGACATAATAAAATGAAAAAATAGATATTTTGTTATGAAACGGAGGAGTATTACGTAGATATAGTTAATTTAATTAATTAATACTATAATAAAGTGCTATTTTAAATATTTTTTATGTGATGAAATATTAAAATAAAATTAAATTTATTTTAATTTTAAATATTTAATTTTTTATTTACAAAATTATTTAAAAATAGTCATTATTGTATCTCTTATAAATCAATACGTGCTATTAGAAAAAAAAAAAAAAAAAAAAAAAAAAAAAAACTAAAGATAATTAACACAAATAAGAAATGTAATAATAAAAATTTATATAAATAATATATAAATTTTATACCACATTGTGTACTTATACTAAAATTTATATAAATAATATATAAATTTTTTTAGATAAGTTTTTTCAGTAGGGTTCCTAAAAAGGAATGTACACATTGTTTATATAAGTAGTTTATTCAATTTATTTAATTACTATACAATTTTGGATTGTCTGGCACCGGCTCATCCACAGGATGATCGTCCTCCACAATGTGCAGCTTCCTCGAGCCCTGACAACATCACCGTAATCAACTAAAAAAATTATCGCACCAAAATAAAATTGTAGTCTAAAATCGAACGTTCGCCTTACCCGTTTCTCTCCTGCACAAAAAAAAAATGCAATTAGGATTAAAATGGATAAAATTGATTTGGGATAGGATGAGGACAAAATAGGAAAGTAAATAAGGTATGGAGTTGATTTCAAATGTTTTTAAAAAGTGGGGAGTACAACGTGCATATATTATACTTAGGAATTGAACTTAAATATTGAAATTGGGATGTATAATTTTTTGGGGGGAGAAAATGAGGCGAAGTCTAGGAGGCTAAAGAGAACAAAGCAAAAATGAAATCCAAAGGCACCCATGTTCTTAATCACAAATGGGCCATAGGGATGTTGGTTGCGTCTGCTGGCAAGTAAGGTAACACTACGTCCAGAGGGAATGCCAAAATAGTATACATTTGATCGCTCATACTTCCTAATTTAGTAAGAATGTCCGCTACTTTATACTCTTCCCGGTAAATGTGATAAAGCCGATAATCGTTTTGATAAAGGAAAAGTTGACGAATACTACATATAATTGAAGCAAGGGGATGGGTTTGAACAAACTCCTGCTGGATCAATTTGATAGAATTGCCGAGTCGAAATAAGCAACTAATGTAACAATCCCCAGCTCCTGTGCAAGTCTCAGTCCATGCCACAAGGCAAAACGTTCAGTCCTGAGAATTAACGAAACTCCAATAGAGTTGGAAACTCCATTGTCCCACTCACCATTCTTGTTCCTGATGACTACACCATAACCCGAAATCTGTTGATTGCCTCTTGAACTTCCACCCATGTGTAGAAAATAATCCGTCTGTCTTCCTCACCGCCATGTTACCCATCGAAGACTAGGAGATGTTGTTTCCGGTTTAATAAACATTTGGGTAAATGTCCTAGCCGAAAGTTTAATTTTGTAGACTATGCCAGAAACAAGTTGAGTCTCTCTGCGAAAAACGAAAGCATTCCTTCGGAGCCATATATGCCAGAAGGCTGTTAATTTCAAAATGGCATCCACCTTGAGCTAAGCACATAGCTTTCCTATTGGATCATGTAGCAAGGTCACCGGAATATTTATGAATAGCAGACTTCACACTAAACTTGCCCAAGGACAATTGAAAAAATACATGATCCTAAGTTTCAAATGCAGTTAAACAAATGAGGCTCCACACTTGCATTTTCCTATGATAAAGCAGCTCATAGGTGGGCAGTGAATTGTTTTGAATCAACCAAATCAATAGTTTAATCTTTTCAGGTCCTAGCAATCTCCAAATCCAGTTAAAGCCTCCCGGAGTTCCACCAGCTTGGATGTGTAACCATGAATATCCATTTGCTACCTTGTAGACCCTATCCTTGGCAGCACTCCAGCACCAACAATCATCAACAGTCTCATTCAAGATAATATTTCTGACCTACCAATTCGTCCTTCAATCATATAGGAAGACGTATGTACAAACTATCAAGATTCCACCTATTTATGCTCCATACTTCAAACACAGTTAATTTAGAATCGGATATATGAACATTGTCAACCTGTCTATACAAAGGGCCTAAAGAGCTCTACTTTGAGAACCAAAACAAAGAGCGACCATTTACTTCGCATCAATGTGGAACATCTGTCCTGTGGGTGCGCAATATTATAAGGCTTGCTTTCCATCTTTGGAAATGTATATTTAATATCAATTGTGCATAAAATATATATATATATATATATATTATGGACAAATATAGTATATTATTTACATAAAAATGATTATATAGTACGGGTGTATTTGTTTAGTCTTTTAGTTTTATTATGTGACCTATGGATAACTGTGTCAGTAATATAAAAAAATAATGTTTAATTATTAATTTTTGTGAAAGAATGTGATATATATTATATATATTGACCTTTTGTAATATTAATTAGGAATTGTCAGCATAAAACTATTTGGGTGAATACATATATGTTTGTCTCACTTGAATAGTCTCTTAATACCCCTTTTATTTCAACTCAAAGTATCATTTTTATTATTTTCATTCTTCTAGCTCAAAAATAATCATTTCTTATTTCAGTAAAGTAATCACACATTAATACATTAATACCCTTAACTTTTACCTAAATTACAAATATACTATTACACGTACAATTAATTTATACATAAAGTCAAAAGACAAATGTCAAAATATCTTATATACTTTTAATAACAAATAAAATATTATTTCATTTGTCCACTTCTAACGTTTATATATTTTTATTTTCGTCCATCCAATTCAAATGTTATTTTTTTTATTAGTAATTGTGGACTATATCACTAACTACTAATATCATTATTTTAATACTTATTTACCATATTACATTCACTTTATTATACACTAGTGTCTAAAAATGAAGTCAATTTGGTCTTTACACTATTATATCTATCTACTACTATTAAAATACTAATATTTTTAATCCGTATAGAGCTTGACAAATGAAACATTATTTTTTAATATATTATAAAATTCCAAAAAAATATTTTAGAGTGTGACGAAAGAAGTACTATTATATTGATTAATAAGTTTTTGTAAAATGTAAAAAATCAATAATACGCGTAGGGGCGTGTGGAATAGAATAATTCTATACAGTAATGTTCTTACTTCTTATGAATTATATTTATTGTAATTGATTATTGTATAAAATTATTAATTTTGTCGTTTAATTATATATAAAATTAATAGTAAACTAAATATTAATTAAAAATATACTAATATTTTAGTATCATGTAACACTACTTGTAAAAGAATAATTAATAATGGTACTATTTATACAAGATAATTGTGAATAGAAAGTGAAATTATTTAAAGGGACAAAGTAGATCATTTATTACATGTTATCATTTCTTGAAAAATGAGATTGTATTTCTCAAAGCAATGGACGGCTTCGCATTGATTTTGTATGAATTATCAATTGTCTTTTCTATGTTTATTTTAAATTTTGGTTTAAAAAAATATTATATTATATATATTTTTATTATTGCAGATATTACATATAATTATTGGTTTAGCTTTAAAATATCAAGATAAAATATACAAATATAATACTATTATATATATGTAAACAAAAATATATATTAGACAATAATATAGTATTGTGTATTTTATTTCAAGCAAATAAATTTATGTTTGCCCAAGATTTTTTATCATTTCAATATATATTTTATCATTTCACAAAATTTAATATTCAACCTAAGATAGTATTTTTTTTTATATTACCGATACGATTCTCTTTACGAAAGAATATAAATTTTAAAATCATTTCAAATTGGTTTTGTTTAGATAGAAAATTTTGAATTCTGAAGTTTAAAAAAAAAATAAGAATAACAAAAAGAGTTAGTATTTTATATAACAATACGTGAGATCCGAACACGGAACATTACGATTTTGATAACATACAAGATGGTGTAACTAATCGTCTCATATAGTAATTTAAATTAAAAAAAATATATACATTATTTATTTATTTAAATTTTACGGGAGGACTAACAATATTAGATATTGAAGATTATAAAAATGCTATAGGGAATGATGTTTTGGTATTTTTGTTGTCTTTTATTATTGTATATATTGAAAAAAAATGGTAATATTTTTAAAGAATTGTGTATCCATAAATATTAAACAAACACATTAGATTTTATCTTATATAAAATATAATACTCAAACTACAACACAAAATCAAACTCCAAATAAATAAACTTTCATTTCATTATATAAAAGGCTTAAAATCACTTGGTTTTGGATTCCGAGATCAAATTGGACATAGCCACAGTCATGATTAAGAGCTTGATCATAATGGATAAATTGCTTAGGGGCTAACTTTCAAGAGGGCACATATTTGTGAACATCATATTATTAGATATATTAAAATTAAATTTAAATTTTGTTCTACATTTTTTTTAATAATTATCCAATATAATTTTAATTTTAAAATTAAATTCTAACTAAAATTTTCTAAAATTAATTACATTTTTTTCTCTAAAACCTAGATATTTTTAAAGTTCATTATTATTATTAGATATATTAAAATTTAATTTAAATTTTTATCTCATTTTTTTCTATAATTACCCAATTAAATTCTAATTATAACAAACTCTAACCAGAACTTTCTAAAATTAATCCAAAATTCAATTCTAATTATAATAAATTCTAACAGAATTTTTCTAAAATTAATCTTATAATTTTCACCTTTAGAATTTGTAGTTATTACTATTTGAATGATTAGTTTTATAATAGTCTAGATATTGTGAAATTTTATAATAGTCAAGATATGTATTAGCGCAACGATTACCCAACATCAGCCAAAAAAAATAAAATTATATGGCCTATGATTTATGTTTTGCTCAAGGGCTCGAAGCACTGATAATGGACAAACCAAGACTCAATTTATTCTTTATTTAATTGTATCTATTTCTTGAAGCATTCCCTCCCACATCTCTTTTGCATAATTACTTTCTTTAGTAACATCATTTTACACAAATTTCTTCCTTCAATATTAATTATTTTTCCAACAATTTTCAGGTAGATTCGATGATTTAAAGATAGATAGATGGATGTAATAAACCCCACAACCACCAAGGTATGGACACACATTCAATTCACATTTCCCAAAACCCTATAAATTCAATCTCAAATCCTCCATTCAAATAATTAATTACTTAAAAGTTAATAATTTGATCTACAAATGGACACCGGAATGGCCATTACCTTCATCTTCTTCCTCGCCGGAGCAGCACTCCTCAGCTCTCCGTCCTCCGCCGCGGCCGCCGGCGCCGACGAGAAGGACTGCGCGGAGCAGATGACGACGCTGGCGGCGTGCATCCCGTTCGTGAGCGGCAGCGCGAAACAGCCGACGAAGGAGTGCTGCGACGACACCAACAAGGTCAAAACCGCCATGCCGAAATGCCTCTGCGTCCTAATCAAGGACAGCACCGACCCCTCCGTCGGACTCCCCATTAACACCACCTTGGCGCTGCAGATGCCCGCCGCCTGCAACATCGACGCCAGAGTTTCCGATTGCCCCTGTATTGGTTATTTTCGTCTTTGATTTTCTGATTTCGGATGATTGATGGATTGATTTAGGGTTATGATTTGGGGATTTTCAGCGTTGCTGAATCTTCCGGCGGATTCGCCGGAGGCCAAGATTTTTAAGGTGGCCAGTTCGGGGGATTCGAATGCGGTGTCTCCGGCGACGCCGAAGCCGGCGACTGCGGCGGCGACGGGTTCGGAGAGCGGTAAGAGTGCGAGTGCGAGTGCGGCTAGTGGCGGGAGGGAGACGGCGGCGGTTGGTGGCGCCTTGGTGGTGACGGGATTGGCGCTGGCTGTGGCGTTTGTTTGAAATTGTAATAACGCTTTTTGGGTTTTTGGAATAAAGTGGAGTTATTTACATAAAATGTGAAGTGTTGCATTCAAAAGTTTTTGTTGTCTACGTTCCATGCCAAAGAAAAAATGGTTGTACAATCAATCACTTTGATGTAGATTGACTGTAAACACTTTCAAATTCTCCCTACTCTAATCATCAAAACTTTATTTGTACGATGGAGATTAAAAGACAAATTATTGTCTCAAATTATTTGAACACCATTATGCTATGAAAAGTTCATAGAAAAGTGGAATTTGTGTGTTTCCTCTCAATGTTTGAACTCTCCATTCTCAAAGTTATAAAGTTGTTCATAGAAAAGTGGAATTTGTGTGTTTCCTCTCAATGTTTGAACTCTCCATTCTCAAAGTTATAAAGTTGTTCATGAGAATTCATCAAGGTCATAACCCGACTTCAATAATGAGATAAAGGTCAAACTAGAGAACAAAAAAATAAGGCTTAAGCATTTTGTTGTACAACTGTTGGTGTTTTGTAGTCCTTGTAAGCTGGTGATAGATTATACTGCAGTCTCATGTATTGAAATCTCCAAATCTAGGTTTGTACATTCATTAAACTTGGTTAACAATAGTTTTTTTTTTTTCTTTTGTCTCAGTGATCCTTACAAACACACCATTGTCATAACTTTGGAAGAACCACATATTTAACACTTGTGTTTATTATTTGTAGTTTCACATTTTCCGCTCACATATACTCAGAGGAGTTAGCCTCTTAAGCATAATTATTTTATCCAATATATGGTATCACAGCAACAATGTGTTCATACTCTTGAGTAAATCTATTTGTGGTTGAAAATAAATTAAGGAGGTCCCACAAGTCATCCACCATTGTTTGAAGGAAATGATTATTGGCATTGAAAAACTCGAACGGTTATTTTTTTTTTATGATGCTTGGTGAAGATGCATGTGATACTATCGAGACCGGATGGAAAAAATCTACCAAGGTACTAAGATAGTGCTTGGAGAGACGCTCACAAACCCTCAAACCATCATCCCAAAGTCAAAAGTTCAATAGACTGCTGAGGAAATGTATGAAGTGATTGGAAATATAAAGGCTTTGAATGTTATTTTTGTTGCTGTTGACAATGTATAATTAAGACTTATATCCAACTGTACAATAGCTAAGAATGCTTGGGATGCATTGCAGAGGCTTTCGAAGGTACAATTGAGGTACACATAACTAAACTTCAAAAACGTAAATTAGGTATACACTCTTGGCTTTCAATTCAGCGAGGAGGAGCTAGTGAGGAAACTGCTTTGAATAGTCATTAAGAAGTTTATTCTAAAAGTTGCATTACTTGAAGAATGGGGAGCTAAAATAAATGACTCTTCAATGTTTAAATGTAATTAGAGTGGTTTTACTCTCAATCAAGCTATTCATCTACTGTGTGATCACAATTGATGTAATATAAGGAGACAATCGTCTCCACATGGATGATGTAATTCACTCTTTTATATTTGATGCGGTAAATTAAAAAAAAAAAAAGAAAACATTTGTTTTAATCTAAGTAATAAAATAGCATAGCAATTATTTAACAAATGATTATCTACCAAGATGAACATATGATGGTATATTATCATCAATTTAATACGATTATTCTTTTTAGACTGTCAATAATTGGTTATAATTATTAACAAGATTTGATACCTAATTTTTTCTTAAAGTGTAAGTAATCAAGGTACACCAATTAAATATCACTAATTAAATTCATAGGAGTTATTACCTAATTGCATTCTAATCTATAAGACCCAATTCGAAACAATTACTATCTAAGAAGAATAATTAGATTTGATTGTCTCTCTCGGGAAAGAAACTATTCAAATTTATTGTCACCTATTTAAATGAAAATACAATTATAAATATCTTATTTAATGCTCCGGTTAAAATAAATAACCCGATGGACAAATTGAAAATATTAATAAATTAGTTACACGATTGAAATCTTTTATGAAAAATATATTATAATTTTTTATTAATAGTAAAATGTGTAAAAAATATAGGGTCAAAATTATTTATTTAATATAGATAAAATGTGCATAAATTTAAAGAACATAAAAAAAAAGATAATAAAATTGTTTATGGTAATTTTTAAATAAATATAATGTTAATAGTAGTATAAATTAATAAATACAGAGGATAAAAAAGTTTCAGCATGGATTCTATGCTAAAAGATTTTCATTCACCTTTGGTTGAGTACATAGATTTTAATTACTTATAATTTATATCATTAATTAAAATAACTAATATCATTATGTACAAATAATTTATAGTTATCCAGCAACCTGCTGACAAATTTCAGCACCTAATCCATAGGATACGAAAATAAAAATAAAAAATAGTCCTATTGTAATTAAAAATAATCAAATTTGATCCTAATATAGGTAAAATTTATTAATTTTAATTTCACTATAAAGATCTTATAGTTGAAAAACTAATGGAAGATGCTAACATGAACACAAACGTGATTTGATTCGAAAGGCCCGTCAGACCAGACCAGACCAGAGCAGTAATTCTTACTACTTTGTCATCATCATTTCGTTGATTGATGATTTCATTTTCTCATGAACGAACACTTGGATAGCCCTCCCTCCCCTCCCAATTCAAAATTAATGATCAATTGAGAATTGAATTAGGAATTCTTGTCCCCGAAATTGATTAAAATTAAAATTAATAAATCTTTCATATTAATACCAAAATTAATCATTTTTAGTTACTATTTCTGAATTTTTTTCCCAAAAAGAACAGGCTGGAAGGATTATGTAAACTAACAAATTAAAACAATTGAAAACAAATATACTTGAAAAGCCAAACTAACAAACTCTCAATCATCATCTACACGACTACTTGCAAACTTTTGACTCAATCGAAAAGATTGTTATCTATAATAATAAATACATATATATATATATAGTTTTAAAAACACTTTTATATCATCCCTAAACACATAGAAGGAAGAAACATCTCGACCAAAGATAAAATTGAAGCAGAAAATACCTCTAAAGCAAAAAAATAAATAAATGTAGAAATTTTAACGAACCGATTACTGATTATATCGAAAACAACACAAAAACATCCAAACAATCCAAAATTTGCTCATTGTAATGTGAAAAGTAATACTCATAGTCCAAAACCACATCCATAAAAACTCAAGTAACACGAAATCACTAAGGTTACCCTCGTTCCTAAGCCTTCCTTGGTTTGTTGCTGGTCGTCAGCTGAGATTCCGGCTGCAAAAAATAAATGTCGAATGCATCTCAGTAATGAATATATATAACTATGGAAAATAAGTCTCTAAGCTAATACATTGCAAGGTAAATAATATAAGGAACTCATTGTACCTCCTTCTTGACCGGCTCTTCCTTCTCGGACAAGATTAATTCAATGTGGCATGGGGAAGACATATATGCTGTAAATAAAGAACATGGCTATATCAGTAAAATGAAGTTTGAGGAGCGGAAACAGGTTTGATAAATTAATGCCCACTTACGATTAATTCTTCCGTGAGCTCTGTACGTGCGACGCCTCTGCTTTTGAGCCTGGTTGACTTGGATGTGAGAAATGAAGAGGGAATCCACATCCAAGCCTTTAAGCTGCCATAAGAATAATTGAGATTTCAATGTAAAATATGAGATAACAAAAAGTTGATAAACAATTAGGGGGTAAACAAATTTACCTCAGCATTGCTTTCAGCATTTTTCAGTAAATCCAAGATGAACTTGGCCGACTTTGCAGGCCAACGCCCCTGGCCATTTGAATGGCGATTTTTTGCCTGAGCAGTTCGGCCAACTCCTCCACAGAACCGGGTGAAAGGTATAGCTTGCTTGTGGGCAATCACATCTTCCAAGTATCGCTTCGCCTTATTGAGGGAAAGCTTCCGGATGGCATGGGCTGTCTCCCTAGTGTTCTACACAAATGAAATGAGCCATTTGAGTTTGTAACTACAAAGCTTATATGATTTCAAAGTAATGTAAAATAATGATCAATGTTTATAACTCACAAATAGATGAGCTAGTAGGAGGAATTTAAACAATTAGATACAAGACATACACTTCAACCACTGATTATTAACACATCAGTGGACTTGCAACATAAAAAACAAATTTAGATGTAATACATTATGCTTTTAAAAAATGGTAAATGGCAATTATATCAAGATTATCACCCCAAGGCGTATTCGTCGGGTAGGTGATAAAACTGAAATATTTGATCATGAAGGCTAATTTCATGTTTTATTTAACACATTTAAGCAATTTAACACTTAGTAAATCATAATCAGATTAACTATACAACTTCAGGAAGTGAAGTAGAATTACACATCCAAACAATACATTTACAACAAAAATAGTTTATAGCTACAACCCTCAACATTAGCACAAAATATTAAGCTACTACGATGAGGATAAAAACCAAATTATATATTTAAAAACAAACTATAAATATTGCATTGTTTACTGAACCATAAATCATCGAAATAACTCAAATGATTCACCCAATAACATTGCCATTTTTTTTCCCTGAAGTTTACGAGAGAACTGCTCACAAATGGCAACAGATCCCTGCTTTTATCATCAGGTTGCATAGGTATAATAACAGAAAATTCAAACGCCAAAGAAGACAAATACAATAGTGATACAATCATACAAACGACAACAGTAGATTAATGCCTTGCAACACAAATTATCCAAACAAAGGTAAAAGTGAATTAACTTGCGAACAAATATACCATACATCAACAAATTAAACTTAAAATTCAGACCTTGAAGTGGACTCGCAGCTGCGATCCCCGAGCCTTGCAAGCTGCAAATACACAACAAATCCATGGTAATGGACAAAAAACTACCCCAAGCAAGATACTGCAATTACATCTAAAACAACACATCCAAAGAGAAAAAAACCGACGAATTGAAGTGTAAAGAAATTACATTTGGTAGGATTTTCCGGTTCTCTTGAATACTTCACCTGAAGAAAACATCAAACGCGATGAGAACCTAATAAAAATCAAGACAAATTATTCTCCGTATCAAAGAACCCATGATAGTTTGCGCACCATTGTCTCTGCTGAAGCGGCGGCGAGCCGGACGACGTCTGATATTCGTTAGGGTTTTCTTCGCGAGCGGCTGAGAAAAAAGCTAATGCGGCACCATTCTTCTTTTATAGGGAAACCCTAGCTATTGGGCCGGGCTGGGCTAGGATTGGCCCGCGGTATTTGGGCTAGATCTGAAACTGTATACTTTGGGCTGCATCATCCTTTTATTACTTTTATTTATATATATAATTTGAAATAAATAAAATTTAATCAAGCAAGTCGAGAAAACGTGTAAAAATTATTTTAAAAAAATAAATAAATAAAATTTAATCAAGAAAGTTGAGAAAACGAGTAAAAAATATATTTTGAAAAATAATAATAATAAAATGGGATATATAGTGTGTTAGGATTGAGTCCGCTTTGGACTAAACCCGAACGGATTTGTTTTTGGATATTCTCCAAAAAGCCTCACAATCAATGCCCAATATCATCCATTCCACTTCACCATCTAACCGGGCTCTGATACCGCTGTTGGGATTGGGTCAACTCAATACTAGTATGATATTATCCGCTTTGGACTGAGCCCGCACGAATTTGTTTTTTAATATTCTCCAAAAACCTCACACATAGTATAATACGAAAATGTATAGCAATTCGTTAATTGTATATATATATAACTAACCTGAATCCGGTGTGCTAGACACCCTAATATAATTTTATATATACCTTAACTTATGTTTAATTTTTACATATTTTAAATGTTATTATTTAGTTATAAACAATCTTCTCTTAAAAGAAACGCTCTAAAATTTTTCTGAAAAATTTCCAATTCCAAAGTTTCTTAATTCGGTTCGCGGAATCTGTTATTCTGTAGATTATTCTGAAATTCGCTTCAAGGAAATCGCGTCTCACGCGAGGCTCGGATTTATCTGAATATGATATTCGAAACTATTATTCAGATTCGGTGATTTGATTTTGTCGCCACATCTCAAATTCATTATTTAGATCGCTAACATCATCAAACAACCATAATATGTTGTCGGAATCGGACAATACATATTTTAGAACTTAAAAATATATAATTTAGAAATCGGGGCGGAGGATATGCTCGGAATCAAAGGTTTGATAAAAATGAATTAATGGAGGATATCAGAGGAAAGAAAAACGCGGCAAGCTCTAGAGACCGTGAAGATATATCTAGAAAACAAATTTGTAAAGAAGTCGTGTATGCGATTCCGAACATATCCTCCGCCATTAATTTATTTTGACGATATATAGAGAATGCAAAATGAGATTGGATTATCAATAACTATACAATTTCCATGTAGCTAATGAAACTTTTGAATTAACCCATCTTTTTAAATTAATTAATTTATTTATTTATACGGAGCGAATTCGAAGAAGAAATTGAGGTTGGCGTTGGGGAAGAAAAAGGGTGGAATCAAAGATGCATTCGGGGCGGGGGAGGGAAAATTAAAGATGGATCATACATGGTGGCGGCGGGGGAAGGGCTGCTCCGGCGGAAATAGTGGTGGTGGAGGAGCCTCTAGTTGGCACTGGTGGTGGTGAGAAAGAAGAAATAGTTGTATGTATGTATTTTATAGTATGTACACATGTATATATATGTTATGGTACATATGTATGTGTGTACAGTGAAGAAAAGATTGAGGCATAACGGTTACATAAACAAAAAAAAAAGAAATATTGTTAGTCAAATTTTGAATAGGGTGCAACATTTTGGAAATTAAAAGGTAAGTTTTATAGAATTTTAGGATTTGTTTGCTATTTTGTCAGTTATTTATTAAATTCAAAATAACTATATAAAATTCTTATTTGAATAAAACTTACATAATTAGGTGTGCATTTATAAACATAATTAGGTGTGCATTTATAATTAAATATCAATTTTGGAAAAATATGATGTTTTGTGCATATTTTGAGTTTGTTTGCCTAAATTTTTTTTCGACACAATTCATAATATATATTTTATCTTCTCACAAAAATCAAGATTTAACATAACATATTATTTTTTTATATTATCGATATAATTCTCTATATCTCATAAAAAAACAAAATCTTCAAATCAAAATACTAAACAAACTCTTTAGTTTAAATATAAGGTTTCACACAATAAATAAAATATGAGGTATTATATGTATTTTTACTAAAAATATAAGGGTTTATTATATTACTCAATAATATTTGTTTAGTGTTTTAATTTGAAGTATTTTAATGTGAAGTATAGAAAATTGGGTCAATAATATAAAAAATAATATTTTATATTGAATTGTTGACTTTCAGTCAAAGAATATAATAAGTATATTATTTATATTATGTGGGGGGGGGGGAGAGGGGGTTGCACATTCCGAAAGTTTAAATTATTTGAACCCAACCGAATAATCAAAATTTGAAATTTGAATTAAAAAATCTGAATCAACCCAAAAAATCCGAAATTCTTGTTTTTTATTATTATTTTCTAAAATTCTTATATTTTATGTTACATGTTTATAATTATTTTATAATATTAAATATATATATATATATATAATAAATAAAAATAAGTGTAGCAAAATATTATATTTTGGATTTCAAATTAGTTTGGATTTTTAGGGCATGTTTCGTTTGAGGTAATTTGGAGAAATTGGGTTTGAGGTTGGGTTTTATTTAAATTTTAGGATAGGTACAAATTTTTATATTTCTTTTGTGTTTATGTTTGGTTGGGGTTCGGGTAGTTTTGATATGATGAGTAATAAATATAATAATATAAATATGTATTAATTTTAAAATTTTAAAATTAATAAGGGTATGATTTGATTATGAATTTATATTATATTTACATATATATGTTCTAAGGTTTTATTTATTATATTATACAAAATTTTATTCTCTACAAAATAACATATATATTGTATATTTCGTCTGTCTCTAAGGATCACATTTACCTTTTGTGTCATTATACCTAACATTAAAAATATCCTTATATTTGTATAATTTTTTTTTTTTACAATTTTCTTTCTATTAGTATTATAAGACACTAATTGAAGTTTTTTATAATTTTTTAATAATTTGTACTATGTTTTAATATAATAATTAATATTAAAAAATCAACACGCAAAAAGTAAATGACACCTTTGGAGTCGGACAACAATAATATATTTTATTAAATTATAATTATTATAAATATAAACAAAATAATTATTTGGTGTCTTGCACGACCGTGCATGACAAATTATATTTTAATTTTTTTTTATAAAAAGGTAGAAAAAACTGTCGCGGCAGACTTGTGTCGGGTGTTCAAGAAATATAATCCCATTTTGGGGGTTCTTAATGTGCAAACACTATTTGCAAAGTAAAAAACTCCAAATTAGGTTTGAAGAAACACATCCTTACTATTTTTGAATTCGAATCAATCAAAAAATTTAAATTTTATAAAGTATTCAATTCGAATCAATCCGAAAGTCCAAAAAATTTGAATCAAATTTTTATTTTTTTATTTAAATTATATGTTATATAACAATTTAATTTAATATTTATTTATTTATTTTTTTTATTTTTTTATCTTCGTTCAAAGTTGACGCATTTGGTTAGTGACACGATAATTAATAAAATATAATCTAGTAAGTTATAATATTATTTTATTATATTTATATGAGTGATATTGTTGATATTTTTAAAATAAAAAATAATATATCTGATTAAAAAATTTAAAAAATATATTTAAAGAATTAAATCATTATTATCTTAATAAAATATATACAATATGATACTTTTTTGTAGAGAATAAAATTTGCATAATATAATTAAATAAAAAAAATATTCTTATTTATTTATAATTAACATAAATAAATTTTATAAAAATAAAAAAATTTTAAATGTAGATAAAAATATTTATTAAAGAGATATATAAATAAAAGGATTTTGAGTGAGTACAACATGTTAAAATTTTGATTAAATTGATTCACATTTATTAAGTATGTTTAATATTCTAAAATTTACTACAAATAAAAATATAAACGAATTAAGAGAATGTATTCGATGTAAATTCTATAGAATGTTATTGTACTTTTAAAATTTAAGTATATTTAATCTCGAATTTTAAAAATATTTAAAATGTAAAGGTATGCAATTCAATTTTTTCTAAAAAAAATTTAAAATTCTAAATGATTCAACAATTTATAGATTTTATATTTTATTGAAAATTATAAACAAATTACGGTAATAAATATTACTACAAAAAATAAATGATGGCAATAAATTTTGATAAATAATAAAAATTTGTGAAAAAATTATTATTATTATTACCATTATTAATGTATACATAATAAACATTATGATAATATTTATTAATATTATTATAATCTTATAATAAAAAATAATAATTTAGGACTAAAATATACTTAGTTAATTATTATCAAATTTTTTAAGAATATTTATTTTTATATTATAAAATACTATTTTATCATAATAAATATATAGTATTATTTATGTCCATTTTTATTCAATTATCATATATACTATGATGTTATTTTGAAATAGTTGGTTTATGTTTATCTACTTTTTTTAATTTCAGTTTTTATTTTAAAAAATTGTAAAATTTGATCTTAATTTTATTTATATTTATTTTTTTATTAAAAAATTTATATAAATAATAATAATAATAATAATAATTAAAAAATTATATATTGAATGATAATATACTAATAATTATAAAATTTAAAATATTAATATATAAAGTCAATCAAATTCTATAATCCTATAAAATTCATATAAATTTATAAATAATTCAATCAAATTTATCAAAATTCATCTACATCAATATATAAATCAATCAAACTGTATGAATTATGTGAATTTTTCTAAATCCATGTAAATCTATAAATTTTTTAAATTCTGAAAAAAAAAATCTAATAAAAATTCAAATGAATACAACCTAAATAAAAATTACATATTATTTTCTTTATATCATTAATAAGTACTTATTATTTTATATGTATTTAAGTATTTTATTACTACCTCTGTCTCATAAAGACATAAAACCAACACTATTTGTCTTTTGCCGTAATTTTACTTAATATTAAAAATACATGGTAAAATAGCAAAAGAATCACCGATTTTTCGAATTCCCTGAAAACCCTTCGTAGTTTTAAAATTTTAAAAAATATACTCGTAATTTCCAAAATATTGCACACTCGCTCATTCCCTCTGAATTCTACTAACAAACTTTAAATTTTATCATATTTGACCGTTATGCCCTTATTTATATTTTTTCTAATTACTTCTCTATGTCGTGCTCTTATTTCTTCAATCCAAGAATCCACATCCGCTGAGAACCGCCACCGCTATCGGTTGTCGGAATGTGCTTGAATTGTTCAACGATCAGTCGATTTTTGTAAGAAATAGATTCACTCGCGTCCAATTTCAGAATAAGAACATGAAGAAACTTAATTCAATTTCAATTTACTTTTGGGTCATATTTGTTTGTGTTCCTTGTTATTCTTCCCCAATTTTTTTCTTCGGGTTGCCGCAGTTGCACCAAATTCTTTTTTTTCTTCTTTTTCCCCAATTTTATTTTCTTCTTTCTTTTTTTTCCCAATTCTTTTTCAGAAGAAATTTTTTTCTTTCATTCTTCTTCTTCTTCTCCAATTCTTCTTCAAGCCGCACATTGATCTTTTTCTTCTTCTTTATCCCCCCTTTTTTTTTTCTTTTCTTCTTCTCCAATTCTTGTTCAGGCCTCCTGTTCTTATTATTTTTTTCCCTTCAATTTTCTTTATTTTCTTCTTCTTCGCCAATTCTTCTTCAACTGCACCAGGTTCAAGAACCAACAGTTTGAAACTAGATGGGCAAATATGATTTCAAATTTATTTTTTAGTTTTTTGAGTTGGGTGAAATAGAGGAAAAAATTGACGGTGACTAATAACTTACGAAATTCTCGAATTGAAGTGAGCTCGGATGGAGGAATAAAATAAGGAGAAGGAAAGAAGAGAGAAGGAGAAGGAGATAAAAGTCTTTAGAGGATTATTTTAGTAATTTCGTAGAGATTTTGGACTAAAAATCGCATTTGAGGCGTATGACACGCCATTCTTCTTTTAAGTCTTAACTAATGGAGTTTTTCTGCAACGTTTTAAAAAACACAAGTAGATTTTTTGGAGTTTTAAATCAAGAGTTTTATGCTATTTTGCCAAAATATATTTATATTTATATAATTTACTCAACGAATGTTATTGTATTTGTATTATAAGAGGCTAACATATGTATTTTTGTCATTTTTTTTATTTATACTACGTATAGATATAATAATTAATATTCAAAATCAATACGGAAAAAACCCATGGACTCTTTTTATGGAACGAGAGCAATATAATAATATCAATAAGATAAAATTAGTTTAGTTGTAAATATAAAAATTACAATTTTTTTATAAATTTTTTATATATTTGAAATAATATTAAGAATTATATATATTTAAAATAACAAAATAAACTTGCTCAACTTGTTCGAATTAAAATTATCAGTTTCGATTTTTCGAAAGATCAAATCGAAGTTAAACCTTCTACAATTTTAATTTGTATTTTTTTTATTTCAATTCAGTTCCATTGATTTCATTTCAAAAATCACCGATTTTAGTTTAGCTTGTTAGTTTATATTTATTCTTTTTTAATTCTTTTATTTCTAAATTTCAATTTAAAAAGCTGTAATTTTATTTAGGAATATTATTTTTTTTTTTGTAACATTATGGCTCAGTTGATTAATTTTTTTTTTTTTTTTTTTAATATGAATTGAGAATCCGCAGTGGTTAACCTAAAGTGCTCATTGTATCCAATATTTTTGAATTTTTTATGTGTGGTATGAAAAATTGTGTTAAAAATATAAAATATATTATTTTAAGTTGAATATTTGATTTTTTAAACTTTTTTAATGAGTTTTTTTTTTTTTTTTTTTTTTTTTTTTTTTTTTTTTACTTTTATATAAGTATTTTATATTTTTTAATATTATTTTTGGGAATCGCAATTTATAAATTGGATTGGGTGAACAAAGTATAAATAATAATAACAATTAAATAGATTGTTATAAGATAAAATTTAATTTGGTTGAATAATAATATAATAAATCTGACCAAAATAATAATATAACAAAAAAAATATATATTTAAAATTATTATTATTATTATTAAAATAAAATAAAACTGAAAATAATAATAATAATAATAATAATAATAATGTATTTTTAATATTTTTGTTAAATATTTGAAATTATATATACAAGTGTATTCCATATATTTGAAATTATATAAATTATTAAAAAATATTTAACCCATAAATTTATAAGTTCTAATAAAATTTAGATAAATCAATAAATAATCAAATCAAATTTATCAAAATTCATATAAGTAAATAAATAAAATTAATTAAATTATGCATAAATTCTATAAAATCTCTAATTCCACTGAACTGAAATCTACATATTTTTTTTCAAAGTCCAAACAAATTCATTAGAATCTATTCTAATCGAATAAATCCCGTTAAATTTCAAACAAACAAAAACAAAATCGATGCAAATTTAGTTTGGGCTTTTAAGTAGTAACTAAAATTGAGCTCGACAGGCCCAACGTGTGATCCCCATATCTGGCGGCTTTGTCCATTGCCCTGCCTATCCGATTTCAGCGTTTAATGTTTGCGATTGCAGATTAGACTGTTAAGTGAGAAATTTTGGTGGTCGCCGCCTCTAGATTGCCTGCAGTTGCGCGATCCTTGGGAGGAAGTTTAATTGACGGCGTTGTCCCTACGTTGACTGGTAATTCGTGCTTTCTGAAGTGGTTATACGATTCTATGGATGTAAAATCTTTTGTTTTATATTTGATTTGCTGTTGCGAGAGACTTGAGCAGTGTGATTTTCCGAAGATTGTCAAATCGATGTAGAATTTCTTTTAATTGAGTAAATATCCCTGATTTAAGCGATGGAAGTTTCTGGAAAAGCGAATTTGTTTGGCGATGTGAATGCGTGTTTGTTCGTCGAGATGAACAATTTTATGCTTTATTTTTTAGTTCTGCGGATTGGCGATTGTTTAGTTGACTAAATCTGATGTATTTTTGTGTGCCCTTGTTGACATGATTAGAAAGCCAATGTGAATTGGATCTATGAATTTCCTCGATGATTTTGCTGCCAGAACTTTTAATTAATTCCCTAATTTAAAATAATGTATTGTTCAGGTTATCTTATTTTATGTATGTAAGATCACTGGAACACATATGCTATTGTATGTTTTTTAATGCTTCTGAGTCTTGAAAACTCCTACAAATGATTCCTTATGATTTAAATGCATGCCCCACCATGTACGAGTGCTTTTGATTGTGTGTTGTGGGTTATAATTTCATCCAGTGGAAAATAGGTTTTTTCATGTGTACTTTTGAATGGAAATTGATATTAGATGCTATATTTTGAATGGAAAATAGATATTGAAATTGCTGCACAGACATTTGGATCTCTGTTTTCTGTCATCAATTTATTCTTTAAGTGTGTGTTTGTTAGTATTTTTAATTTGTTATGTTTTCTTATGTTAGGTGTGTCAATAATATTAAAAATGCTTTATTTTGTTCGATTGTTATTATTGTGAGTATATATAGTATATATACTATTTTATACATTGTGTGAGTGTGTGTATACTTGTATTTTTTGGTAATTTTAATCGCGAAGCTAGTATGTATTTTTGGTTGGTTGAACACTTGTGTTCCTTATTTCGTTTTTTATATTTGTTATGTGTATGTTATTATGGGATTGGCTCCCACTGTGACTAAGTTTTGTGTTCCTTAATTCACTTTCACAATATGTGTTTGTATCTTATGTTGGTTTGTGTTTTGTCGTGGCGTAGCGAGTGGTGTAGGATGCAGTTTATTTTCTTAAAAACATGAAGCCTGACAATTGAGTTTTGGTCCACATTCCACAAGCAAGTACACTTCTGTTACATGCTCTATTGCACTTCACCATATTCCGCAATAATCTTACAATTATCTTAGTTTTCCTAGTAAGTGCTTTCTTAAAATGTGAGTTCATTTTTGGCATACTATGAGTGATATTTATGACTAGCATATGTTCTATGCATTTTAGCAAATAGCGACTTCTTCCTCTAGCAGAACACCTTGATTGAGTGGGGCATTTGGGCGAATATGCGGCAACTACAATTTTGCATGTACATATTCTACAGTAAACTATGATCGAATGTCCCACATTTATTATAATTTTTTATACCGTATCATAGCTCCTCATTTCTTGCATACTTAAGCTTATATAGATTTGTTTCCCCCTTTAATCGAAACCTGTTGGTAGATGGATTGGAAAGGGCAGAAGATGGCAGAGCAGCTGATGCAGCTGATGTTGGTATCGTTTGCAGCGGCTGCATTCGTTACAGGCTATGTCTTGGGGTCATTCCAGATGATGCTGCTCATCTATGCAGCTGGGGTTGTGCTGACTTCACTCATAACCATTCCCAACTGGTCCTTTTTCAACCGTCACCCCCTCAACTGGTTAGATCCCATCGAAGCTGACAAGCACCCGAAGCCACAGGCTGCTACAGCCTCTGCCCCCAAGAAGAAATCATCTCACAGAAAAGCCAATTGAAGGTGAATCTCCTAAGGTATTATATCATATTATACATGAGTTCTTTATTATTATTATTATTATTATGCCTTGGATAGATGGTTGATGAAATATGGATGTTTTGAACCTTGATTTTACTATCTGGTATTGGCTACACAAGTATTTCCCATAACTAGTGATGCCTTTTTGGTACATTCTTTGTGGTGTTACAATATATGTCTTGCGCTACAATAGTCGGTCCTGGGCTAGGTTAGGTTATAAAATTTGCATGAAAAGTTTAAATATATGTGTATATATCGATTCTGGGTAGAAATGGCTATAGGCTTGTCTTAGAGCAAATACAATTTTATATGGAAGCTTTTTTATTCAAGGTTTTAAATTCTAATCTAATCTCTTCCTATGTAATTTGTTATTATACAAAAATTTACATTTGTGAGATGATGGAGAAAGAAAAATGGTAATGACCTGAAAATGTTTGAAATTTTTTTGTACAATAAGGCTTTTCTATTAGTTCCGCAGTCATTGTATTTACTATTTACTCTTAGGAGAGAATCTGCAATAATCTCTATCTTTATACAAGGCTTTGTACAAGTCTTTCACCCTCTCCTCTCTCAGTCTAACAAGTTGGCGAAACAAGTGGATTACTCCATAATTTATCATAACCCGCAAATAAGATTATTTGCGGGTAACGTTAAGATTTAGACAGTGCAATCCAATCCACCGGGCCACGCCAATCCAAGGACTTTTAAAAACTAGTATTATTTTTTATATATTTAATATAAGAAATAGTTCTATCTTAGTTTAAATAATAAATATTTCAAAACAAATATCTAATATAAATTGATTTAAAAATTTAAATATCTTTGATTTTTATTTCTTTAAAAAATAATTGGTAATTGAAAACATTTAAATAATAAATAGGTATTATTATAGAAAAAATTTAAACTACAATGAATGAAAGATGAATAAAATAAAAAGCGGCATTGATAAAAATTGAATTTAATTTATTTTCATCATTTTTTCTTTCTAAAAATAAATACTATTGGAGTTTGAATTTTGTATTTCAACTTTGAAGAATAAAAAAATTTAAATTTGAAAAGTAATTTAATATTATATAAAAATGTATTGATTGATGTATAGTATGTATGTAAAATTTATTTTTAGGAGTATAATATTAAAAAATAAAAGATAGATTTGGAAGGTATTTGGAAAACAACATTTTGAATCATTTTTAGTTTATTAAAAAAAAAATTAATTGTTTGACCGGTCTGAAAATTATTTCGAGTGTTTTGTAAATTAACTTTTTAAAATAGCTTATTGGATAATAAAAATGGGTGTGTTTATCTTATAAAATTGATATATATATATTTTATGTGAGTTATAGAGTATTTAATAAATAATATAAAAATAATGAATATGTGAATGTATTAATTTTTTTTTTGAAAAAATATAAATAATAAAAAAAAACTCACCATTTTCAAAAAATTATGTATATTCTGGCGTTTCAAAACAACCTTTTTATTCTAATATTTTTTAATTCATAATTTACCCTTAAATATTAATATTTCATTAACATGTATATATACATATATTAATATATATTTTATTAAATTATTTATTTTAATATATTTTCTTCAAATAGATTATAAATTTATTTTTTTAAATTTAAAATAATTAAAGTAATTATCTTTTATATAAATAATTTTATTTGAAAAATATTTAAATTTGTTAAAATAAAGATAAAAAATATTATTATTATTATTATTATTATTATTATTTAACCAGAATTTTTTTATATTAAAAATGAATATATTAAAAAAAAAAAACATTAAAATTTTAAGTTTACTAAAAGAATAATTAAAAATTTAACATAATAAAATTATTTCTACCAAAAATTTGCTTTTTATATTTCACATTATTTCTGATAAGAAATACCTATAGTTTTTAACATACTAATTTTTAGTAACTTCTAATAAAAATTCTAAAAAATTCTACACACGAACGGAAATAATGCAATTAAATATACTTTAAAAATAAAATACAAAATATTTTAATTGTCATTTTACGTATAAACAACTAATATTAAAAAATTATTTTACCAAATATTTTAACACAAGTATAATATATTAAGTTAGTCAAATCATTTAATCGAATCAACTATCAACTAATGGTTAATCGAATCGGCCAACAATTAATTGTCGAACATCCTTTCATATTTTTTAGAATTTCTTTTTTTTTTTTTTTTTTTTCTTTTCTTTAATGAGTTTGTTAAATCCTCATCCTAAGTTCCCAAACAAATATATAAATTTTTAGTTATGGTTTGAAATAGATTTAAAATGAGATGTTGATTTAATTTTATTATTGTAAAACATAATATTTTGATGCGATATTTTATAAGAAAAAATAATGCATTGTTTTAAAAAAACATACTGAGATGAATAGTAATAATTTGTGTTTTGAAATTATAATACTCCCTCCATCCCAATACAATAGTCTTGTTTAATATTTTTGTCCGTCCTAAAACATTAGTCTTATTTCCATAAATAACCATATCACTATGTAACTACTCTTACTATTTCATTATTATTACACAATTCTCACTACCTTTTACACTAATACACCCACAAAGACAAAAATGTCTTTTACCTATACATTTTACTCACTATCAATATAATATTGGGAAAGTTGAATTAAAATCCCTGTCAGATAAATTCACTTGTAATTCAGTACCTATTTAAAATAAATTGGACTGCAGTCCCTACTTTATGGATTATGTATGTTACAGCTCCCCAATTGTATTTTCCCCTCAATTAATGTTATATACACAATAGGTACTCGAAATAAGTTTATCAATACTTCAAAAGTTGTAATATATACCTACATTATTTCCCGCTCTACCCCCATTATAATCATATATACTTCAAGTTAAATATCGCGTACATTTTTTCGCGAATTAAAAAATAAAATATAAATAGTTACACACGATTTAACAAGGGTTGAGACAGGAAACTTCTCATAACTCTCCTCATCTCGATTTTAAACCCTACATCTTCCATCTTTAGGCAAACCGACGTTCTTCAATCCCTAGCGATCAAGTAGCGTCTGATTGGTGAAAAAATAGTGAAGAAAATAACTGACCTGCTCCCATCCCCCGACAAGTTCGAAGAATTAAGTGTATGGTCGGATTTTTTCGATTTTTTATTCTGTTGACATTAGTATTTTATACCGTAGTTTGTTTGATTATTTGGAGTGTAAGTCTTGGTTCTGTGTATGTATGTCTCGGTTCAGTGTTGAGGAGCCTTGGGTGATTGGTGTAGTTGTGTTTGTTAATCGAGTTTGAAATCGTTCGTATGTTTGCCCACGTAGATCGGGTTGGGTGTTTTACTTCGCACCGATTTGGGTGATTTTATTTGCTTAATCTGTGATTTTTGTTAATTTTGTAAATGTATATCTTTTTAGTTATCCGGAGTTGCATATTTCATGTTTTTTGTTTGATTATTCGGTAATTAGTCATGTTTTTAGGTTGCAAATGTGGTATTGTTAGGTACCCCAAGTTGTATCTTTTAGGTCTAGTATGCTAAGAGTATACTTTTAGGGGACTACTGTGTATTCGAAATGTATTGTTACGTACTCCTGATAAATTCTTATAATTTTTTTAATAAATTTGATATTTGGGTAATATAGATTGATGATATTTATTAATTGACCGTAGGTTGGGTTATGCTCGAGTTCAATTCACCGCATAATCCGTTCGGACAAGGGAATGCGAAAAAATTAGTGCATTTACTGGATATATATAATTAATTGACCGTGGATAAACCGAATTACGTAACAAAATATTGTGTTATTTTTGCATACATGCTTTTTATACTTGTACAGTTGTACCTAATCGCAATACACCTATGGCTCATGGTAAGGAAAACGCCCGAATACGTAAGATTTCGACATCAAGGTGACACTCTCGATTGTAGTCCTTTGGTCCGCATGTTCGCCAAAAGTTTTGCCCACGCGAATACAACAGTCCATCTCATTGGTGGTATCGGTGGCGAGTTTGATAATGTGAAAAGCTACCACAGTAAAATTGCGGCCAGAATACTGAAATGTGCATCCTCCAAACCGTAGATTCTGATGAGCAACACAGGGTAAGTGAATGTCTGTAATGAATTTGGGATTGATTTGGGTTATGTTATTTGTGGTTGGTTTGGGTAATATGTTATTTTCGGATTGAATCGTTGGTTGAATTGGTTCGATTGGTCTCCGATTCGATGGGATTGTATTAAGATTGATTGAGAGATTGAATTGTGGGTTGAATTTAGTGAAACTTAATATTTGGAGTAATGTTATCAATTGTGTTGTGAATGATTGTATAATTAATTCTTCACATAGTCAGAATTGCAATAATGCACATGATGTACCTCCTCAAGAGATCGATGTACCCGTCTAACTAGATCAAAGTACCTTCAATATATATATATATGCTCATATACATGTTACCCATCAGTTAGGAATGTTATCCTTGTATGAAGAGAACAACAAGCCAAAAAAGTTATGCATACTTCTCTTAAATTGAAATTAAATAATTCATTACAAGACCTTGCAATAGTTGAAGTAATGCCTAGAATGAACAAAAGTGCATTTACGGATACTTGAGTAATTAGTGATGCACCTAAGAAAGAAAAATATATACATGTACTGCAAATGTTTATACCCTCTCAATCGTTGTCATTACTCTCAACCACCAATGAAGTGAAGAAGTGCTAATAGAAGAAGTGTTTTCACCGAGTTCCTTAATTGCCTCATCCGTCAAGAGATTGAGTGAGGTCGACCATATTCAAAGATACCTGCTACTACATAAATAATACCTTGGTTTAAATGCTTGTACCCATAACGTACATACTGCATTAAATATCCAAATACCCCGGGGTAGTTTTTACGTACCTATAATACGATCTCATATGCTCTAATAATGAGTATCTATGCTCTGATAACTTGTTCTTGGAAACGGATCATTCTGAATTTGAAATATTCAATTCTTGTTGGTAATCATGGATAAATTCATCATTATAGTGTTTTCGAGAATCCTAGAACTATATGAAAACATAGACAACACATATCTACTATAGATTGATAAACTATATAGAAAATACTTAGTTGGGTGACGTTGAAAATATAAGAATAATATAAGTTTCTAGGATGCAATCTATTATGCACCAATATACCCATAGTTCCATTATAGTCCAAACAAATCTCATTCTTATATAATTGTGTCATTGAAAGTAAATTTAATCTCACAGAAATACTATTGACACAATCAATAATTTTAATAAAATAATCATAGAAAACAATATATACTCACATATTAATGGTAATCGGGGATGAATTAAACAAGA